CTACTGCCCAGAGAGAACCATTATTAAAATACTAATAGATATTACAAAAGCATTCTTTTTTTTTTTTTTTCCAAATTGGACTGATATTATAAGTACAATTTTATACATGTATTCCTCTTCATATTACCTCTTGAGTATTCCCCCATGTTATCATATATAATATACCAATGTAATTTTAATGGCTGTACTTTACTGTGTCCTATGAACCAGGGCACAGTAAAATACAGTCATGAAAATAACATGTATACTGTGTCTTATGAACTAGGGAGAGAGTCTTGATGTGGTGCAGCAGGTTAATGCATTGGACTGCAAGGTCAGTGTGAACCACAAGGTGGGTAGTTCAAACTCATCAGCCACGCCTCGGAAACCCTATGCAGGGTCGCCAGGAGTCGGAACCGACTCAATGGCACTTAACAACAAAATGAACTAGGAAGCCCTAGTAGTGTAGTCAGTTACACATTGGGTTATTTACCACATGGCAGTGGTTTGAATCCATCCACCCCTCTGAGGGAGAAAGATGAGGTTTTCTGCTCCGGTAAAGATTTTCGGCCTGGGAAACCCTATACAGGTTTGCTATGAGTCAGAATCATCTCAATGACACACAACAACAACACGAACTTAGCAGAATTATCAGGTTTTCTACATATTGCTGGACCTCTGTTGTTAAGTGCCATTGAGGTGGTTCCAACTCACAGCTACCTTGCATACGGTTTCCAGGAGTGACTGGTGGGTTTGAACCGCTGATGCTACCATTAGCAGTACAGTACTGATCCTACAATGCCACAACTCTAAGTTGCTCCTAATATTTCAGTATTATAGATAGTATTGTGATGGACTTCCTTTTCATAAATCTTTGAAATTCCATTAAAAGAATCTTAAAAGTATATCAGTATGTCAAGTTCAAATTTAAATCACTGAGTTAAACAGCACCTATAAATTTACCACTGAAAGTCTCTGGAAATAAAATGCAAATAATACCTATCAAATAAACAAAACTATTTCCATATCACTCAAAGTCTATATTTGTCTTTCTGGAACAGACATATTTCAGGCAGAATATTACTTCCTCTAGGCAAATGGGCTATTACTGGGTTAATCTAAATGCAATAACACGAAACTTGGCTGACCCAGATTTCTGCACTATCAATATGCATGCAATTACAACCTTCTGTAGATTGAAAAAACACTCAGGGCTCTCAAAAACACATATTTTATCATCTCTTGATTTCAAACAGTGCACAACAGTTATCATCAATAGTGGTTGACCATTTATATGAACATACAAGTTACATATAACACTGACTTTACATCATTGTTTCACTGCAATGATTACAATCTCCTCTGTGCATCATCATTCAACAGTATTTGCTTCCATTCCCTCTGTTTTTCTTTGTGGGGGGTGGGGTGGAGGGATGTACACAAAAACACTCAGGAATATATAATAATTTAAACCACTAAAGGGCACATTGTGCAAGCCTGCCTCCTGGCTGCCAGCTCTGAGTCTCTCTCTTTCCATGAGTCTAGAGTCCTCAGCTGCTCCCTCTCTTTATGTTCTCATCTCTGCCTCCATCTCTGGTGTCACTGCTTCTCTGGATAGAATCACACATTCCGCTCCTACTCTTCTCCCTTGATGGTCCTAGGTTCTTCTGTTTCTGGAATGTAAGATTACCTACTCCCCCGTTTTTGTTACAAAACTTCTACCTTTACAGTTGTGACAGTTGCCATTAGTCATGATAACAATTACTCACTATTGAATCATAAGAATCTTATCCCTGTCTCTTTTCACCAGACCCATATAGCAAGATGAAAACTATTCAGTGGGGATTCTATCTTCCCCCACACACTGTGAAACTATAATCCCTCTTGAAAACTTGTAAGCCAGTCACTTCGTGCCTTTATTGCTCCCTCATTTTAGGTAGCCAATGTCTAAGTTGCCCATCCCTATCTATGCTGTATACAGAGGAGATAGGACGGATATTTGATATGAAGACTCCTTCCTTCTCAGTTGGTATTTTGAGCTATTACTTCCATAAGTATAGGTCAAATTCATCAACCTGTAGCAATATATACTTGTTTCCTTTATCAAAAATTGTTTTTTTAACTTCTTCTAGTTGAGTTCTGATTATCAAGCCATCAAGGCTAGGTCAAATGGGTACTATCTGAAAGTTTGGGAGTTCTTGTGTGTCTCCCCTCATTTCATATCAGCTGGTTGCTGCACTCTCAGCTCTACCCCTCTGTGGCTCTATCCTTATCCATGGGCTCAGGAGTCCCCAGGTCTCACCACACTTTGGACCAACCAGCCCTTCCTCTCTTCTCTCTCATCTCCAGGTCAACAGGAGTCTATGGAATGTAATTGAACACTGCCCATTTCTTCATTGCTACCTTTCCCTCTCTGTCATTCACCAGTAGACCAATGTGGTCGCCAGCAAGCTTACATGCCTGCTCCTGTGTTTCCTTTGAGTTTCCGTTTCGGAGGGGGGTTTGTCCTTAAGGGACTTGATTGCTTGCCTTGATGGCTTCCCAGTGAATAAGTTGTTTGTTCTTATAGTAGCCAATCAGACTGCCATTTTTGTTTTGGGTTTCTTCTGCTGATCAGTTTTGAAGATATATCTTCTGTCGTTCTAGCTGTTCCAGGCTGGTCTGCTTGTCCTTTCTAGTGGGAATGTCCCATCTCAGAAGGTTCTGGATGGGGCTCAGGATTCCACCTAAGGTCCTATATACTGCAAAGACTCTGCAAGAGGCCTATTTCACTGGGTAAGTTCTAGAACCCCCTTTTAGGAATCCCAAACAGTTATAGGCTGAAGACGGGCTTACAAGCTTTCTGTAATCATGTTTCCCGACATTCCTTCTATCCCACTCAAGTGTCTATTTTACAGTATTAAGCAAGGGAAACCAATATTCATAAGGCAGTTAAACATTTTAGGATTATTTTCCCTCTTCAGACTATGTTTCAATCCTAATATCACAGAGCTCTCCCTGTTGTTCCAAGGTTGAGCATGCATCACTATTGACTTTTGTCCCATTTAGCCCATGCAAACCTATCTCAGTGTTCCCCTAGACACCTTGTTTCCCCATCCTCCCCTTCTTGTGTATTACCACCCCCAATACTCAAACTATGATGTGCCTGTCCCCTACCCTGTTCTCTACTGTCAATCTTAAATGTTTTATAGTCTATTTCTAAAAATTCTTTTACTATCAGGGATATAAACAGGGTTCTAACTATCCTGATGAATTTTTTTTCTCTGTCTTCAGCCAGCAGAAAACCAAAGCAAAACAATAAAACAGAATCCCCACTTATATCATTGGTTATAAGGGCCATCTGTCATTGTTAAGTGCTTTTGGATTGGTTCTTACTCATAGTGACCATGGAATCATTCAAATTCTACAACCCACTCAGGAATGATGGTCAAAGACTGCTGCGCTCAAACTGCATAGCTGTGTAGTGAGCACAGAATAAAGGTCCACTTGTATCCTGTTTGAGGTGAAGAGGATGCTTTGGGTTGTGCAGTATGCATAGTGCTGAGATGTCCATGGCCGCACTGAAGAGAACCCAACTAGTCATCTCGATGTGTGCATGTTTCTCTTTAGCTAGCTGTGAAATGTAAAGTTATGGCAGAGAAGTGGCCTTTGAAGCCACACTTGATCCTTGGACAACACGGGTTGAACTGTGGGGACACACTTACACATGGATATCTTTTTTTGTAGCTACTGCAGTGAACTCAAATATTTCGAGTATCCACTTAAAATGTTGAGTGGAACTAATAATTCATCGAAATGCTCACACAGAAATGATTAGTGTCATGTGATGTTTTAAGTGGATATTGGAAACATTTGAGCTCACCACAGTAGCAACAAGAAAAACGAATTTGCGTGCAAGTGGGCCAATGCAGTTCAAACTCGTCTTGTTCAGGGGTCAACTATAAACTATACATAATTTTTTTGAGTGCATTTAGAGGTTGGCACCCCTAAATCCTGCACTGTTTAAGGATCAACTATCTGCACATATTGTCATTTTTTCTTTCTTTTTTACACCAAGGAAATACCACAAAAAAGCCTAACCCAATTCATCCTGTCCATGTCATCACAACAGCACGGCTTTCTTTCCTCCCAAGTCCCCTTCCAATCACCCAATAGGAAGCAGAGGGGTACCTTGGGTGAGTAACTGTAAGTTTCTGACTTCTTCTCGCACCTTCAGCTGGAGGACCTGTTGTAAAATGTGCTGTCTGAGGTTCTCCTGAGCAATCCCCATCCGCTCCAGCTTTTTGTCAGTGAGTCTCAGCAGGGCTCGCCCTGTGGGGGTTCAAGAAAGAAGAGGAAAAGGAAATTAGATAAAGCTGGGGAAGGATTTCCAACCTGGTTCTGGCTATTTCAGCCAGAGCAGATGCTTCATGGAAACACAGACAATACAACATAGAGAGGTCTCTGTTACTATTTCTCATGTTGTTGTTAAGTCAGAACCATCTGGTTGGTTCTGACTCATAGTGTCCCTGTATACAGTGTCCAAGGAGCAGATGTTGAATTTGAACCACCAACCTTGCGGTTCAAATGGCCTGGTGGTCCAGTGCTTATCCTACAGTGCCCACTAGGACTCCATTATGGCTCATGTTGTTGTTGTTAAGTTCTGTAGAGTCATTTTTGACCCATAGCGTCGCTGTATAGATTTTCGAGGAGCAGCTGGTGAGCTTGAACTGACGACCATGAAGTTCAAATGGCTTTGCAGTCAGACACATTAACACACAGTGCCATACCAGGACTCCCTTACTGCTCATAGGAATGGACAATTGGAATGAGGACAGTTTTAAAGGGAACTCCAATTTGTGTCTAATATTGGAAACCCCTGAATGATTCACACATTGGGACAGATAAAAGAGCAAAATTTTAACCTGAATGTTTGGGTCCTTGGAAATCATGCTCTTCATAGGGCTTTGGGTTTCTAGGCTGGCCCAGAGGAGCCTGGGTTATTGACAGCCCAGCTCTCACTATGCTTAATCAGAAATTCCAGCCACATTTAACCCAGGTTACAACGAGGTTTCTGTGAAAAGGGCATTCAAAGTTTCCATTATAATTTATGGGACTCCAAGTCTCCCGCAGCACACCTCACAATAGGCAGAAGTTTCCATATCTAGCCAAGAGGCGGCTGTACTAACAGAACATGGGAACACCGAATTGTTAAAAACTAGGAAAGGTGTGCACCAGGGCTGTAGTCTTTCGCCATACTTATTGAGTTTGTATGCTGAGCATATAATCCAAGAAGTTGGATTATAAAGAAAAATGTGGTATCAGGAATGGAGGAAGACTCATTAACAACCTGCGATATACAGATGAAAATACAACTTTGCTTTCTAAAAGCAAAGAGGACCTAAAAAGTTTACTGATGATGATCACAGACCACATGCTTCAGTATGGATTGCAACTCAACGTAAAGAAAACAAAAATCCTCAACACTGGACCAATAAACAACATCCAAATAAATGGAGAAAAGATTGAAGTTGTCAAAGACTTCATTTTGCTTCAATCAACCATTAACACTAATGGAAGCAGCAGCCAAGAAATCAAATGATGTATTGCATTAGACAAAACTGCTGCATAAGACCTCTTTAAAGTGTTGAAGAACAAAGATGTCAGCTTGAGGACTAAGATGCACCTGAGCCAAACCATGATATTTTCAATAATCTCATATGTATGTGAAAGTTGGACAGTGATAAGGAAGACTGTAGAAGAATTGATGCATTTGAGTTATGGTGCTAGAGGAGAATATTGAAAGTGCCATGGGCTGCATAGAAATTAAATTGACTACATATGCAGAAAGAAATGATGGAAAAGCTCCATATCATCAGTCAAAATAAGACCAGGGGAAGATTGTGGAACAGACCATCAATTACTGATATGTAAATTCAAACTGAAGCTGAAGAAAATGAAAACAAGTTCACAAGAGCCAAAAAATGACCTTGAATATATCCCACCTGAATTTAGAGATCATCTGAAGAACAGATTTGATACATTAAACACTAAAGACTGAAGACCAGAAGAGTTGTGGGATG